GCACCGATGTCCCATATATCAGCATGATGAATGGGCGGGAGGTGACTCATTCATCACATGATCCAGACGCGATCGCGCCGCAAGAGCGAGCAGTGGCAAGCACGAGCAAATAAACAAATTGCTTCTTCTCCCCTCTCACGTGAACTATTTTTGTTTCCGAAGATGACTTATCTGCATCTGGTGACCTTGAGGCTTCGGTATACAAGGAATGGACCAAATACTTCCACATCCACATCTCCGAATTCAAATGCCCACATACAAGTCTTTCGCTGTGGTTGGAGGCGGGACGGTAGGATTGCCCATCGTCAGCGCTCTTACATCATATGGCGCCTCTGTTATCCTACTCTCGCGGCCCGGGTCCTCTCCCAAAACAGTGCCACCGACGGTCAGGTGGTCCAAGTTGACTATAACGACGTCGCAGCAACTGCTGCGGTATTCAAAAAGCACAAAGTAGATGTTGTAATCGCAACCTTGGGGCTAGCGGCAGTCCTGGTACAGAAACCATTGGTAGATGCCGCGAAACTCGCCGCAGTGAAACTCTTTGTGCCCTCGGAGTTTGCGACCCCAACTGACAGCGATGTGGATGCCAACAATCCAGTAGCAGCGATCGGCGAAAAATATCAGATAGCAAGTATGAATACATACATCGCTGGCCTCCGATGGAAAGCTCACATAACTCATCAGAGTATTTGAAATCCCACAACATTCCTTCTGCGAGGGTTTTTGTGGGTCGTTAATGACTGAAATTTCCTCATACTCACCCCACTTTGTTCCAGACTGGGCTCTTCATCGAATCTCTCCCATGGATTGTTGGGTATCCGACCACGGAAAAATCAGAATCGTCGGCAAGGGCCTGGCACCGGTATCCTATACCTCGACCGCCGACATTGCAGGTGCGGGCTTCATAAATCCTGGCTAAAATCAAGCTCACAATTGCAGGATTCGTCGCACACGTCTTGACTTCCCTGGCACCATCGGAGCTCGGGGATCGTATTTTCCGCCTCCAAGGGGACCGAGCACCCCTGAACGATCTTGGAGCGCAGTTCAAGACCTCAGTTGAGCATGTTGACCGCATCCCAGGGGAGGCAGGCGATCTGAAGACGGAGTTGTTGACTCTCCTCGACAGCGGGGCAGGCAGCACGGGCTGGGATGAAGAGAATAAAGCGGAGAGGTCGGGAAGCGATGCTGCGGGAAGCGCGAATGCGTTATGGCCTGGCCATCGGTGGAGAAGTATTAAGGAGGTGCATAACCTTTGAATGAATGCCACACTACCTGCAGGTGCAGGTGAAGTGGAGAATCTACACAATCTACTACAGTCATTCCACGGTCCTTGCATTTTCCGCGGTCCTTGCATTTTATTTTATTTCTGGGCCCAAAGAGCAGATTTTTGCATAGTATTTTTTTGTAAATCTCTATATTTCATGCCCACACATCTCATGGATTTTTGTGGGATGTCAAATGTTACCCTGAAACTGTGGAGCGAGCACGTGATCAGGTGATTTGCAATGTATACAGCCACGTCCAGTTAATTGGATCGATTTTTACCGAAGAAAATTATGAGGAGCATCTACTACATCTAACAATGTCCAGTACAAAATCTCGAGGGAAATGAGGAGTAAAGCAGCTTAGAAAAAGCAGATAAAGAGCCCACAACGACATGATCTTGATTCTTCAACAAAAGAAACATGATTCATGGACTCTACTATTGTCAACATGGTGTATAAGAGGCAGTACTGACCCATGGATGGACATAAAATAATATGAGAGGTGAAAAACCAGTGTGGGGGTGTTAACAGCTTGAGCTGGTGAAAGCCGAAATTCAGACCCAACAGGCGACATTTGAGCGATATAGCATCCACCACCGCGACCTGGGCACGTAGGAATATGCAGACAGACAGGAAATATCAGAAAATATCAAGTTTCTCAGCGAAAGAGGATATCATGGCTCTGTTTGTGCAAAAATGCAAGGACCGATGATGCCGGAAAATTCGGCCCGGATGAATTGGCCGCAAATGAGGCAAAGACGGCACTCTCTCCTAAATCTTTTTACGGTACCATGATTTAGCTGTCTGTACAGTTCTCCTACATATTTTATTTCAACCCATAGCCTTAGTAATACATAGGGAAATCGGACTTTCTGAAATCTCGTGCAAGGACCGTGGAATGACTGTAGCTCGGTTTCCCTGCTCTCCAGTAATGGCAGTAGTCTGGCACAAACAGCGACGTCTTTTGGAGCTCTCGATGCAACCAGAGTTCCGTATTCCGTTCTGCTTGAAAGATTGCGGGTTGCCAAGATGTGGGTGCAAAAAGAATGAGAGTCTGGGCTGAGTACCGTAGCATTGTCAATGTATCGACCGTTTTTGATCGACCGTGTGGCGAGTGACTGAGTCGATGACGTCGTTGACGAAAAGAAAATTCAAGATACTTTGAAGCAAACAATGGGGCATCCGAAGGTTTTGATCTGACTGGTCGTTGCCCGGTCAATGACCCCGTCAATGCATGGACGGGTCAATATCATTGACCTTCATTGACGGTCAGTCATTGACCTCGACAACATTGCGTGGTCTGAGGTTCAGAGTACGGATCGAATGTCGGAGATTGAATGACTCTGATGGGCCGGCAATCAAATCGACCACTCTGCGTCCTGCCACCATCTCAAGATTCTTTCGTACCGCCAACCCATAGGATCTTCCCGACTGCTTGCTGGTGCTTTCTTTATCTTCGAGTCAGTACTTCCGAATCCTCTCCTGCCGAGACTCATGAATCCTTTCTCAGATTCTGTCCAGTGTCATCCTCTCTTGTCGATTTCTTTCTCCAGTTTAGCACCTTTTTCTCCCTGCAGTTTCGTCCCCGATAAGCAGGTATTCCTTTCAAACTTCTTTTTTGCGCCTTTTCTCTCTAACAGCCCCGGGAACAGCATGGACTCTGGTCTTACACGACTGCTGCACTGTAACGATCCCCCAACAGATCAGCAGGCCCAGGAGATCCAGCGGCTGGTCGATCTCCGTCAACAGGAGCTCGCACATCTGGAGGACACTATTTTGAAAGTATCTCTCATTCTCTCCGAACTGAACTCTCAGAAACGACGACGCTTGGAGGTGTTGACGTCCCTGAAAAGCGCCCTCTCCCCGATACGGCGAATTCCAACTGAACTACTTGGGGAAATATTTTATTGCTGCCGGGAGAATAGCCGTGAAAGCAGTTTCGGTATGACCGATGTCCAACGGGCACCTTTGCTCCTGGGACAAGTGTCTTCTCTTTGGCGGACGGTGTGCCATAACACACCGCGACTCTGGGATACTGTGGTTTTGGACGATGCCAGACCCCTCCGAAGCAACAGCCTACCATTTATACGTATGCTTCTGGAACGTTCCCGCCCTCTGCCACTTGCAGTCAAACTCACCACACCCAATAACGACGACGGGCGCTGTTTAGGACTTATGTGGGATTTTCACGATAGATTGCGGGATGTCCAACTTTTCTTGATATCCCAAGATCGCATGCCGTATATTACGGTCAATAATCGTCCTCTTCCCATCCTGAGCTCCCTCACAATTGATTGCACCATATTTTGGACAACGGTGCGTTTTGACCCCGCCGAAATTCTCGATCTGTGTCAGCACGCTCCTGCTCTCCGACACCTAAAACTCCGGGGCGACTATATATGGGCAGGTATCCTCACTGTCCAACTTCCGTGGTCACAGTTATCCTCTTTGGATATCAATATCCCTATGGATGTCATCACTGCCCGCGGAATAATAACCCAATGCACGCACCTTGAGCTGTGCCGCTTTCATAACATTGACGGCGAAGCAGCCGACGATATAGTTCCCACTGTCACACTCAGTTCTTTGCATTCTCTCGACTTCTCCGCCCGCAGTCCGTCGGTGGCATTCATTCGAGCCCTCACACTACCGGGATTACGTGTCCTTGCCCTCACCCAGGCCGAATGGACCGCACCCGTCCTCGTGGCCTTGCATGCACGGTCGCACTTTAGGCTGGAGTCTCTCACTCTCACCAACCTTCTTATCGAGCTCGATGACTTCACCCTCTTCCTTCGGCTTTTGCCCACCCTCCAGGATCTTCGTTTCGAGTCTTGCGAATGCACCCATAACGGCTTGTTCATCTTATTCACCTATGTACCCGGCTCATCCCCCCACATTGTGCTCCCAAATCTCCGCACGTTGACGATTGACAATATCAGCGACTATCTCGACGGTGCGATTGTCGCGGACATGGTAGAATCGCTCCCCCAGCAGGTCGGCGAACTAAATGCACCATTTCCATTGATCAATTCGGTACATCTGTCTCTGGATGGCCCTAAATTCACGGCCGCCGCCGAGGAACGCCTGGCGAGCCTCTCTTCTACGGGTTTCCTGGTGGACAAATTTGGAAGGTGAAATTCGTTGCGTCGTAACTTGAGCCGCTTTCGTTGATTCACTTCCTCTCCAGATCGTCGTAGGATCGCTTAGGCACAGCTAGCGGCAGGCGGCGACGATTTATGCAGACCACGACAATAACAAAGCTTACCTGTAAAGTTTGGACTGACAGTTCCGAATGTATCATCCCTAAAACCGTCTAGAGTATCAGCCCCCGCATCGCATATCGGTATGCTGACACGAAGCCTTTTTGGTCCATTCCAACTCCTCACTGGGCGAGAACGAAGCCAAGAATGAGATCTTCTTTCAATTTAACAATCAAACGGTTTCGCAAGATGCTCATTGCATGCAGACATGATCTTATTCAAAAAACCACCCGACGGCTCGGCGCACTAAATGCAATAGTCGTCCCTGTTAACATTGCCCTGAATGCACCCGCAGTGTTCCACGTAGATAACGCATGCCCGAGAGAGCCGGATTCTTCGAGAATCGAGGATGTCGTTGTTGCTTTGCGTCGAGTGCTTGATTGGTTCAGCGCTCGTCTATCCTGGGAACTTTTATACTCTTGGTGACGCCACCCGCAAGCTGGGCACCTATCCAACCTCCATGGTATTGGAATAAGTCCTCGTGGACCATGGCAGATCACCCCATACGCATGAAATGTTGCAGTGATCAAATGCTGGGGAGACGGCGGTTCGAATCCGCCCCGGGACGTAAGCCAAATGCAAGGCATTGCACTTTCCACCGGGTTCGAATATCGAAGAGCTTTTGGCTAGCAGGCAGTCCTTCCAGGACAACGTTATTGTTGTAAATTCTGCTTCACATCCACATTTCCTCTCCAGCATCTTGGTACAAAGCAAGTGCTTTCGCTGGCACGCTCAAGTTGAACTCACCTCGAATTCTCCTGGTAGGCTCGCACTCTGGTATTACTTACGTTTCTGGATCGATCCTCTCCTGCGGCGTGATCCAGGATAAGCATCTGTCCGAACTCCCCCCAAATCCCCGTGGATCGTGGCAGATTATTCCGTATACGCATGTGGTGATTGATAAAATATTGGTGAGACGGTAGTTCGAATCCGCCCGGGGACATAAGCTAGGATCGCGGTTTTTTTGTCCGGTCTTGTCCGCTAGCGCTCTACTTCTCAGAAGGTAGGACGTAGCGACTTCCGCTGTAACTACCCGAGGGGAGACTGGGTCCTTCGAGATTCGAGGACGACTTTGCGTCATTAATATTGGTTCAGATCGCTGCTACAGTGGAACAAACTTGGTCGAATCCGCTCTCCGCCATGACGAAATCTGAAATCGTAGTTGCCTGGTGGGTGCGAAATAAGCATACCAATTGTTTGAGGAAATGGCCGCAATACAAGAGACCGGGCTTGCAGTCCGCATACACATTAACCTTGGCGTCTGTCTTCAGCGGAGTTGAACCGGATGTGAACTTTCGGTGATGGCTGCATTCCACGGCGGTTGGGGTTGGTTTTAGCTGTGCTGCTGAAGGATGAGGGGACTGTGCCACATTTGAGCGAAGAGATATGTTACATATAATGAGTGTACAAAGTCCACAATTCCACGAAACACGTAGTTATTCTAAATCCTGGAACGGTGTTTCTGGGAGCCATCAGTTCAGTTGAGCACCAGCCCAGCGACAGCTATAAATACGGGCGTACCTATCCACCAATGGTTCGGCCGATGTGCGACGTGAAATTTAAGGCCCTCCGCAACTAGGGCCGCAAATGCCTGCTGCACGCCCAGGGTGTACGCCTCCGACCAGCCCTCTGACGAATCGCCCTCACCGTCCATAATATACAGCTCGAATTCAACTAGCCGCGCTCCAGGGTCATTCGGATTCCTCTTGCGGCGACTGGACAACATGTCGATAATGGGCGTGAAGGATCGCCGATGCTGCGTCTCGGTGATCCGTAGCGTCGTGAGGTTCGGAAGTACGTCGCCGTCTGGGCATGAGGGATCAAAGATGCTGTACACGACGTTCCGGCCACGGGGAGAGTAATCGAATGTGAGACTTGAAATGGAGGGAACGAGACGCAGGGCCGGCGCTAATATACTCGGACCGGAGTCGTAGACGGTGGAGCTGAAGACACTGAGATGGTCGAGTGTGCAGCGAGATCGCGCCAAGAAATCGGCGAAGATGGGGATGTTGGGTTCGTCGTTCAGGAGCACCTCGAGGCGGCAGAGATTGGGCAAGGTGAGGGAGTTTAAGAGCCCCGCATACGAGTTGATCGCCAGGGATTCGAGGGGGTAGGCTGGGAGAAGACCCTGCTCGACGCCATTGACATTGACTGCAAGGCGGCGAAGGCGAGGGAAATCTCGGAGGATCCGGGAAAATTCGGAAAAAAGGATACTCGGTGCGAGTTCAAGGACCTCTAACCCATCTCCGAGGATGCTGGGCTCGATGGAAGCCGCATTTATGCCGACATGGCCAGAAATATGTAGCTCGGAGAGCAGCGGGGCGTCGCGGAAGAAAAGCTGTTGGGGTAGGTGATAAAATTTCTGGGTGCTGGTGAAGGAAAGGGCTCGGAGAGTGGGTAGGGGCCCGAGCCTGTCATGTAGCCGCTCCAGTTGCTCCAGAGGAATATCCAATTCTAGACGCTGTATCTGCGAGGAAGTAGAAGCGATTGTTGCGGCAACTGAGGAGGGTGCTGAGCCCCATGGATCTCGCAATGTGAGGTGCAAAGGAGAACCTCCAGCCTGCGTAAGCCATGAGGGGATGAGTTCACCGCGCTCCGGGGCGGAGATGGTGGATTTCTGGGTCACTCGGAAATCGATGACAAGATACGACCATAGAGCCGGTACAGACATAGAGATCTGCCTAAACTCGCGGCAGATTTGCGTTAACAGGAGGGGTGCATTGCGTTGAGAGGGTGGGACACGTCGTTCCGCTGGAAGGCAGCGTAGGAATATTTCCGAGAGGATTTCGGTTGGAACTGTGAGAATGGGGTATATGATGCTGCTCAGCTCATCCTTGAGCTCTGTACGCTCCCGTCGGAGTGCGTCAAGATGAGTTTGCAGGTGGTCCAGCTTGGTCTCCACTTCCGCGAGGCGTGCACGCTGGGCAACTCGTTCCGCGGGAATATCCCGGGGGGATCCAGGACTTCTGTGCAGCCTCTGGCCTTGGTAAAGACCACAAGTATTACATGCGGCCATGTTGGTTTGGTAAATTGGTTCAATGGTGGTACGGAAGCAAGAGAGTGAGAGCTGGCAGGAGGCTGTGCAGATGACGACGGATTCAACGCTTTGATCGGATAGGACTTAGCCTTTAGAAGACCGACGGGGAGCGCTCAAGAACTACTCTTACCTACAATTGAGGACTCTGCTATTATCTAGCTCGAATGTATTTAGTGCCGCGCTTGAAGGGCTTGGAAGTTGAACTTTTCCTCAAGCATGAAGGCACGAAATTATGAAATAGATTAAATCGATAAAACGAAGTCAGTATAAGGCAGTGCCAATTCCTGCTCTGGAATATGTTACCGATATTCAAGTCGGTCCTCATTATAACCCATCTCTCGGGACGTGGTGTGGAGGTTTCCTGCCGCCGCCGCCCCCATCAGGCGCCGTGGGTCGGAGGAACCGAAAGAATAGCTGGGCGTAGAGCCCAAGTTGTGCCGGTAGACGACGAAAAGTATGACAACGAAGCAAATATCGAGTGGAGTACTGGATTATCCCAGAAGAATTGGAAGGCAAAGCATATTGTGCGACCATGTTGAGAGAATACTATCACAAGACGAGCTAAAACATGCAGAAGAGAACTCAAGTACGAATTTTTCCGAAAGTCCTGTAATGGACACCAAAGAAGATTTAACATTTAGAATTGAGCCGAAGCAGTAGGGAACAGAACACTCGACGATACTGAGCACGTATACATTCTTCTCACATCTATCTCCTTCCCGCAGCTGCAATTGGCGTCTAACAGAAGACTTGGAATGAATTGAAAGACTCGGGCTGCCCGGCGTTGAGGGCAAATGTCTGGCATCCGACGTTCCACGGGCTGCCAGTGTCGGTCTGGTCAGGGGACGGGCCAACCCCAGCCACACAGTTGCTGCTGAAGAACGCCGTCATGCGGCTGCAGGATCCGCTCATGGTCAAATCGAGAGAGCGGCCGCCGGGGAAAGAGACACAGGTGGAACTGGTGGGACCGCTGACCGTCTCGACGACGGTGCTGTTGGTGCTGCAGGAGGGCGAGGTGTACGCTGTGATGCTGTACGTTCCTACAGCACGGGCAAGAGCCCCAGCAGAGAGTACGGTAGCGGCGATGGTCCAGAATTTCATTTTTCTACATAGGTATGCTCGAGTTAACACCTGCAATCAAGATAGATAGAAAAGGGGGACCCACTGGATAAATGCAGTTATACGATCGTAGCTGTTCGGATGGGTGATTTGGCTTCAGTTAACTCTACAGTAAACGGAATGAGAATACGAGTGGGACAGAGATGAATTTGACCCACCAGACTGGATTCAGAGGATGTGAGATGTGAGTCGAGTTGAGGATTTCTGGGTAGAGACTCCCAGTATTTATACAATTCGGCGCTCAGGTTTCATTGTATTTCAACCAGAAGAGACTTGACATGCACGGTGTCATCGGGGCTGATAAAGACATATTACTCAACATAAAGGCACAGAAGTGATTAAAATCCCACCTAGATTTCTATAATTGTCATCCCTGGCCATAAGGGCTACGCGGCAGTACTGTAGGTAACCTAGTATGGGGCATGTACAGGCGACGGTATTGCGGGTAACTAGAGGAATAGCATTTTACGCGAGAAAAGGAAAAGTAGAGTACACAGGTCCTGCTTTTTTTTCAAAAGAGCTTTTGCCGAGCAACATTCGAAAGGTCGTCAAACGATTTGTGTCAGCAGAAAAATTCACAGTGAGTATGCCTATCATGAACCCACTTGGAATCAGGCATCGCGGAATTTTCGAATGAACAGAGCTGAACGCACACTTGGGGCTACTCTTTTCTTCCCCCGACGACCGGATAAATATTAGCTAACATCTGAAAGGTTCCTTCCATACCAGGACTCGGCAAGGTCACCAAAAATGGAGCTCTACTTGTTTCCCGCCGATCGAGGACCGCCGAGGAACGCGGTTGAAAATCTGGAGGACCGTTGGCAAATATGGGTTAGCATCTGAAGTGTACTCTGGCGATTGATTCAGTTGGAAATCTTACGGTAACTAACCCCAGAGGGAAGCAGGCGTTGAATAATTCCGGCGACAATTCAATTGCGGCAAGTATCTTGGAATTCGTAGGCTTGAGGTTGTACGGAACTTCCATTGTGGGTGTCTGTGATAGGCATACTCACTGTGAATTTTTCTGCTGACATAATTCATTGGACAACCTTTCGAATCTGTTGCTCGGCAGAAGCTCTTTTGAAAAAAAGTACCGCAGGTGGATGGGAGAAGGGGACTTCAGATAATCACTCGTTGTTAAAACTACGTCGACACTCGGATCATCTTCTGAGGTGCCTGGACGGAATTGCTGCAGGCAAGGACCCCGTCGGCATGGCCTGGGAGACATATCCCTGCCGAAGTCGGACGACAGTGTCTGCCATAGATTCTAAGTGTCATTTCTGTGCCTCTTCGTTGAGTAATATGTCTTTATCAGCCCCGATGACACCGTGCATGTCATGGTTGAAATACAATGAAACCTGAGCGCCGAATTGTATAAATACTGGGAGGCTCTACCCAGAAATCCTCAACTC